TTTTATAGAAATTCTTCTCTTGACCGATGGATGAAGCAACGATTTGGAAGTTTTCTTAGACTCTCTTGTTCAAGAATAAACGCCTCAAAGGCCACGGAAGCTAGAAGACAATTTTTTAAACTTTTCACATTTTTTGTTGGGTTTTTGATTTTTGAATCATGCTCTTCTGAGGCAGTTTTCCGCGTAGTCACTCAAGGTCGCGTAATGCGGCTTTTAGCACTCGATCAAAGACGCTTCAGTTCATATGTGGCCTAAATTTGATTCCAATAGAGCGATTGGCTCCTACATGAAAATTTTTTAAACTTTTGACATTTTTTGTTGGGTTTTCGACTTTTGAATCATGCTGTTCTGAGGCTGTTTGCCGCGCAGTCACTTGAGGTCTCGTAAAGCGGGTTTCAGCACTCGATAAAAGACGCTTCAGTTTATATGTCGCATAAATTTGGTTCCAATAGAGCGATTGGTTCCTACATTATAGCTTTTTAAACATTGGACATTTTTTGTTGAGTTTTTTACTTTTGCATCATGCTCATCTGAGGGTATTTTCTGATCAGCTACTTGAGACTTCGGAATGCAGGTAACAACAGTCGATAAAAGAAGCTTCAGGCCACAGATTAGATAAATTTGATTCCCATGACGGGTGTTTGGCTCCTACACAATGAATTTTCAAACTTTAGACATTTTTTGGGCGATTCGTCATGTTGGCTTCATTTTAAAAACTTTGCATCGCGCACTTTGCAGGATTACTGCAGAGCAACCGCCTGAGGCACCACCAAGCAGGTTGCCGAAGGCAATAAAAAAGCCTCAATTTACACTTGGTGGAAGTTTGGTTCGATTCAAGGCACTGGATATTTCATAATTAATTTTCGAACTTTGGGTAGCATTGGGTTTTCAACTCACCGAACTTTCTCATAACTTGTCACTTGTTCTGTTGAAAAACATCATGTTTTGCAAAAATATTTAACTTATTGAACACGTTTCTTCTAGTAAAGTACGTCTTGGACAACTCCCAAGACAACTCCGCTCGGTTCAAGTTAGAGAAGAGCTCTTGAAGTGCGCTGAATGCAAAACACCAACTGCATTGACCGATCGCCCACTTTGTGGAAAATCGAATCATGCCGTTTAGAAAACTGTGGAAGTTGGGCAACATTTAATTTTTCCAGCAAATTGAACTTTAAGTGCGCTCCGATGCAGCCTGCGAAAGTGCGCATTAATCGGCAAGTGCATAATTGCAAATCGAACCGGAGTTTAATCTTCACTCGACTGAAGGATTCTCCGATTTGGCCGCCGAAGGAAAACTCCATTTTCTTAATGGGCGAGTTCAAAGTTTCCGAGCTGGAGCGGGAGTTGCGATTGCGAATGTGTCGATTGAAAGCTTCCAGAACACACACACAGTCTTGATTAGGGTTGCTTTGTTTCGAGCTTTGCTCATTGAAACTCCCTTGGCCTCTGTTTATTTAATGAGCATTTTTGCCGTCTGGCTACCGGTTGGAATAAAAGCTTTCACAACTGAATGCCCCATTAAATTTGGGAAGTTGATGGACATGCAAATGGCTTTTTATTCGCTGTTTGCCTAGTAGAATGCTTGTTCCTGCCTTGATCTTTGGCTGGATGGTGTCGAGTTATGGATCTTTCGCTAAGTCCCTAACTGGTCATACGACATGCACATTTGAATAATGAATGAGACTAACTGGCTCAAGGGTGAGCATTTGAAGAAGCTCAATGTACGGGGCTTGGGGAAGTTGTCGATGGTCTTATTTGGGGGAATTGGGGAACTTTGGAAGGCTGGCAACGGGGTAGAAACCCAATAATGGCCATCCATCACTGATTGGAAGAAATCGAAGAATTCGCCTGCCGGTGATTATATTCTAGGCGTTTTTGAATTCTCCTGACTCTTGGGAACATTGCGAATATTTAGCGCGATGGGGGAAGGCGAGCAATAGAGACTGAGGAATGGCAAAGGGCAGTAGGTCAACAAAACAACCGCTTTTCTCCTCGCCGTATTGACAAGTTCGGATTCCTCATTTCCGGTGCGGAACTCGGTCGTTTTGTCGGGATTATTGCTGGGTCTCGTCACTCGATCACCTCTTTGTGCGCCTTATTGGGCTCAAGGGCGGATCCAGCGGGGGGCTCATGGGGGTCATTCAATTATATATTCAATTCTCTATCCAACGATGCCAAAACGAATTCTCTGGCTAGAATGGTTCTTGAGAAACTTCGAAAAAAGTTGCTGGATTTCGCAACTCAACAGAAAAACACGCAAATTTAAAACTTCCTGAAACGAAGACTTTTTTGGGAAAACTGGCAACACTTCCTTAGCAATGGTTCACTTTCTAAAAAGGCCATTTATTTCTCTCTAGAATGATGTACAAATG